CCTTCCACGCCCCGCCCTTAAAGCTCCCTTTTTACTCCCTTCTAGGGTCCCTGAAGCTGGTGACTCCAGAGGGAGCCCCAGTCAGGGGGCTGCGAACCCCGGAGATCCCCATGACGGAAGCTGTGGAGGCTGTGGGTACGTGGAGTTTGGGAAGTCCGGGGCCCAGCGTGGAGGCTCAAGTGATACCCAAGGGTAACAGGCACTCTTTCCTCCCAGCGATGGTCGGAGGGCGGCTCCAGGCCTTCTGGAAGCACGGAGTGCAGGTGTGGGCTCTGGGCTCTGACCAGGTAAGCTCTCCATCTCAAGCCCTGCAGCCTTGCCTCCTCTCTCACTCACCTCACTCACGAGATGGACCAGGGGATCCGAGTCAGGTGTGCAGTCCTGAGGAGAAGCGTCCTCCATCCCAGCTCAGACTGGTTCCCGGCTCTACCCCAGGGTCTCTGTGTCCAGAGCTCATCCCAGGCCATGTGTGACCTTGCGCAAAGGACTTTGCTTCTCTCTTAGCCTCAGCGTCCCAACTATAAAATAGGGGTCACTATGGAGATATATGGGTGGTTAGGAGTATGGACCAGACTGCCTGGGTTGGAATCGAGCTGAGCCACCTTAGGCAAATGACTTAACCTTCCTGTGCCTTTCCTCATCTGGAAGATGGGGCAAAAATGGTGCTTAGCTCATAGACCACTATGTGTCAGAACCTGCCCATACATGTTTGTGTTTTATTTAATCTTCGTGATCACTTATCAGGTAGGTACTGTGATTTCACAGGTTAGTAATCTGAGGCACAGAGAGGTTAAGTAACTTGCTTGAGGTCACACAACTGGTGAGTGATATTAGCAAGAATGATTATTTGTGGATCTGAGGCTGGGAGTTCAGAGAACTCCCTCCTGTTTTCTTTAAGGGAGAGGGAGGAGTATTCTAGATACTGACACACATCTTCTCCCCCAGCTGCTTCAGGAGCTGAGAGACCCCACCCTCACCTTCCGTCTGCTTGGCTCCCCCAGGTATGGACTTGGGGAAGGGGTTAGAGGACCCGGGAGGGGAGCTTCTGATGTGGAGAGGGCATCCTGAGGTGTTCCTAGCCACCTGAATCTTTGGCCTAGACATTCTCTCCCCTGGTCCCTGTTTCCATCTCTTCCCCCCAATAGTCCATTAATTTTTTTCTGACTATGAGGGTGTAACTTGCAGACGTGGTGCACATTTACCCATAAATTCTTCAGTGTGTGTTTACTAAATCAAGCAAGGACCTGCTCTTACAAACCACAATGCAGCCTTCAAAATCAAGAAAATATGGAGACATCACTACTTTCTAATCCACACACCCATTAAAGTCTCACTAGTTGTACCAATGATATTCCTAATAACCCAAAAATAATACTATTGGGGGGGGGGTCCCGAATACAATCCAGAATGATGAGTTTCATTATTTAGGAGTCTTCTTTATTTTCTTTTTTTTGTTAATCCTCACCTGAGGATATTTTCCCCATAGATTTTTAAAAAATATATATTTTTTATTGATTTCAGAGAGGGAGAGAAAGATAGAAACATCAATGAGGAGAGAGAATCATGGATTGGCTGCCTCCTGCACGCCCCCCACTGGGGACCGAGCCTGCAACCCAGGCTGTGCCCTTGATCAGAACTGAACCCAGGACCCTTCAGTCCGCAGGCTGACGCTCTATCCACTGAGCAACACCAGCTAGGGCCCCAGAGATTTTTTAGAGAGTGGAAGGGACAGAGGGAGGGAGAGAGAGAAACAAACATCTATGTCAGAGAGACACATAGATTGGTTGCCTCCAGCACATGTCTAAGGTGGTCTGGGATCGAACCTGAAACCCAGGTATGTGCCCTTCAAGGATCCAGAGTCAAACCTGCGAGCCTTCGGGACTCAGGCTGATGCTCTAACCACTGAGAAACACTGGACAGGGCAGGAATCATGTTTCTTTAGTCTTTAGCCTGGAACAGTTAGTTCTTCAGACTTCCTTTGTTTTTCATGATCTTGATGCTTTTGAAAAGAGTGCAGGAAAATTGTTTTACAGAATGTCCCTCAATATCACTGAAGTGATGGTGTGCCTGTCTCAGCATCATATCAGGAGGCACATGTCAGTTTGTCTTATGACTGATGATGTTATCTTTGATCATTTGGTTAAGGTGTGCAGTCAGCCACATTTTTCCACTATCAAGTTACTCTTTTTTTCCCTTTCAGTTAATAAGTACAGAAGTCCCCCGCACCCCACCCCATTACCTGTGGGGATATGTTCCAAGACCCTCAGTCCTGAAACTGTGGATATGTACTGAGCCCTATATGTATTATGTTTTTTCCTATACACACATTCCTATAACGAAGTTTAATTTATAAATTAGGCACAGTAAGAGATAACAACAATAATTAATAAACTAGAACAATTACCATAATATAGAATAATAAAAATAATGTTAATGTGGTCTCTCCAAAATATCTTGTACTGTACTCAGCCTTTTTCTCATGATGATATGAGATGATACAATGCCTATGTGATGGGAGGAAGTGAGGTGAATGATGTAAGCATTGTGATGTAGCATTAAGCTACTGTAAGGGTTCTTTGATCTTAAGCACTGAGATACCAAAACAGTCGATCTGATAACTGAGATGGCTAAGTGACTGATGGCAGGCCAGCAAATACAACTTGGGTAAGCTAGACAGAGAGAGATGACCCACTTTGGGTAGGACAGAGTGGTACAGCACCAGATTAAATCATGCTACTTAGAACAACATGCAATTTAAAACATATGAATTGTTTATTTCTGGAATTTTCCATTTAATTTTCTTGGACTGCTGTTGACCTCGGGTAACAGACCTTGGAAAGCAAAACTGTGGATGGGAGGAGGAGAGACTACTTTATCTTTTTGGGTGATGTGTTGAGACTGTGTAAATATACTCTTATTAAGACTTTCATCGACTAGTTTTAGCAGCTATTGATTTTTTTAAAGTTTTATTTATTGATTTTAGAGGAAGAGAGAGACAGCGATTTGTTGTTCCACTTGTGCATTCATTGGTTGCCTCTTTTTTTCAAAAAATATTTTTTTAATTTATTTCAGAGAGGAAGGGAGAAGGAGAGAAAGAAACATTAATGATGAGAGAGAATCATTGATTGGCTGCCTCCTGCATGTCCCCCACTGAGGATTGAGCCTGCAACCCAGGCATGTGCCCTGACCAGGAATTGAACCATGACCTTTTGGTTCATAGGTCGATGCTCAACCACTGAGCCACCACAGCTGGGCCATTGATTGCTTCTTATATGTGCCCTGACCAGAGATTGAACCTTCAACCTTGGCATACCAGGATGACACTCTAACCAACTGAGCTACCCGGGCAGGACTATAGATGATTTTTGCCTGAATATATTATTAGGATGGTTACTAAATGGTGATTTTTCTATTTCTATCATTCCGTCTACATTTATTTTTTTAAAAGATTTTTTAATTGATTATTTTTGAGAGAGAGAGAGAGGGAGAGAGAGAGAAACATCGATGTGAGAGCAATACATGGATTAGTTGTCTCCTATAAGCACACTCCTGGGAAATGAGCCAGAAACCCAGGCACATGCCTTGACCAGCAATCCAACTGGCAACCTTTAGGTGCATGGGACAACCAACTGAGCCACACTGGCCAGGAGATTCCTTCTATACTTATTAGTTGGAATTCTACTGTAGGGAAAAGCTGTCCCTTCTCCACTATTTATGTGTATGTTTGTATGTATTTCAGCATAGTCTCATGGATTTCCATTTTATTCTATGGACTAGAGGCCTGGTGCACAAATTCGTGCACCAGTGGGGTCCCTCGGCCTGGCCTGCAGGATCAGGCTGAAACCAGCTCTCCAACATCCCCTGAGGAGTCCCGGATTGCGAGAGGGCACAGGCCAGGCCGAAGGACCCCACCAGTGCACGATCAGGGCCGGAGAGGGACGTGGGAGGTTGGCCGGCCATGGGAGGTTGGCTGTGGGAATGCACTGACCACCAGGGGGCAGCTCCTATGTTGAGCGTCTGCCCCTGGTGGTCGGTGTGCATCATAGTGACTGGTTGACTGGTCATTTGGTCATTCGGTCACTTAGGCTTTTATATATAGAGATTATCATTTATTTTAAGGTACAAATACTCCCAGATTTAGCCAGTGAGAGCCTCTTCAAAGATCTTCTGTGACCTTTTTGACATGCCTGAGGGGTCTTTTAATTTCCAAACATGAATTTGTCACTCCCCCTGTCTAAAACCCTCCTGTGGCACCCTAGCCACTTTGGCTCAGTGGATAGAGCGTCGGCCTGTGGACTGAAAGGTCCCAGGTTCATTTCTAGTCAAAGGCACATACTCGGGTTGTGGGCTCGATCCCCAGTGGTGGGTGTGCAGGAGGCAGCAGATCAGTGATTCTCTCATCATTGATGTTTCTATTTCTCTCTCCCTCTCCCTTCCTCTCTGAAATCAATAAAAATATATTTTAAAAAATAAAATAAAAAATAAAACCCTCCTGTGGCTTCAAGATAAATACCCAGTTCTGGCCACAGCCCACAAGACCATGACTTCTGCAGTCAACCCCCAGGCCCTCTCCACCTCAAGGCCTTTGCACAGGCTCTCTCTCCAGAACACTCTTCCCTGTCTTTTCACCAAGTTCCCTCCTAAGCTTTGGATAGGATCCCCTATCCATTCTTTGGAGGCACCTTGGCTGACCCCTGGGGCTAGGTATCCCTGCTGTGTGCCATGCTTCTTTGCACTCATGTAATTCCCTGATTCATGTTGGTCTCCTGCACTAAATTAAGCTCCCCGAGTTCAGGGACCATGTCTGCTCATTCACTGCTACCGGCCATCATTATGCAGGCACAGCCTCTATTAATTTCTCTGTGAATGAATGAATGAATGAATGAATGAATGCCTTAGCCGGTTTGGCTCAATGGATAGAGCATCAGCTTGCAGACCAAAGGGTCCCAGGTTCAATTCAGTTGCAGGCTACTCCCGAGCCCAGGCCCTTGTCGGGCACGTGCAGAAGGCAGCCAATCGATGTGTTTCTCTCAAATCAGTATTTCTCTCTGTCTTTTTCCTCTTTCTTCCACTCTCTCTAAAAAAAAAAATCAATGGAAAAATATCCTCGGGTCAGAATTAAAATAACAACAACACAAAAAAACAAAACAAATGCCTGAACTGACTTCTCTCTTCCCCAGGCCTGTGGTGGTGGAGACACGCCCAGCAGATGATCCTACTGCTCCCAGCAACCTCTACATTCAGGAATGAGTCCCTGGGGGTGTTAGGAACCATTCCCTGCACCCTCCTTCCCAACAGACACTCATTAGTGGTCATGACATGCTCCTTTACCCCAATAAACATGACTTCAGCCTCTGCTGTCATCTTGTTTTTCTGGGGTTGTGGGAGGACAGAATTTCTGGATGCCCCCTTCCCAATGTCAACAATCCAGCACAAGGATGTCAGGGGTGTAGCAGAGATTTTATTTCTCCAGTACATGGTTACCCTCCCCCCAGGGGCCTTGTGGGGAGGAGCCTGTGGGCTAAGGGGCTTGCTGTGAGAGTAAGGCACTTGAGGCGGGGGTGAAGGGCCAGCTGGGGGTGACTCAGTTAAGCTGGTCCTCATACTGCTTGCGGAAACAATCGCCAGCTGGGAAGAAATCCCAGCATCTCTCTTGGTACATCTTCCACACGTAGGACTCCTAGGGTTGGGGGATAGGGAAGAGAAGGTTGGTCACATCTTCAAACACTTGATATTGATAAGAGCTTTTTACTGATACCTGCTGATTGATTTTATATTAAAACTCTCCATGTCCTGCCATTAACACCCCCTTACCTGACCTGTGTGTTCTGTCTCATCCTTGTTTATCAGGTACATCAGGAAAAACCTGGGGACGGGAGTGCAGCAGTAGACAGGTCAGGCACATCCTTACCTTCTCCTGATTAGCTGGCTGGGAATCCACTCACATGGACACCATACCCACTTCCCTAACTGGTCAAGGCCAGTATCCCACCCCTGACAGTCAGTGACCACGCCCCATCCTTCTCATTGGCCAGTGGGCCCACACTCACATGTAATTGGCCAGGTTGTGCTCCTCTAGCGTGTGAGTCTCAAACCCATGGGGTGTGGTATCAAAGTAATCACTGCCAATGCCACAGATGAAGCACTTGGTCTGTGGGTGGTGAGAGACAGAGTCGAGGCCCAATCAACTCTCCAGGGTCCTATAATCCCTTTGGGTCGCCCCCAGACAAGACCTACCTCCATATCTTCCTTCACTTGTTCTTGCTGGTCTCGGAGCTCACCAAAAGCATCAATGATCAGACCTGGAAGGCAGGGCGCAAGTCAGTGCCCAACCTCTGACCCAGTTCTGGCTACCCACCTCTGAATCACCCATCTCCCGTCTCCCTAATCTCACCCTGTTCCTAAAAATACTAACACCTAGTGTTTATTGAGCACTTATGAGCCAGACACTTAACACCTATGAATTGACTTAATTCTCACAACAATATGAGCGTCTTATCATTAATATCTCCATTTTACAAATGGAGAAACGGATGTCCAGAGAGGTGACTTGCCCCTAATCTGAGAGTAAGGAGAGGCAGAGCCAGGACATGGACCCAAGCAGATGGACTCTGGGCTGGGCACTCAAAGGAGCTAGTCTGCCTTTAGGCACCAGGCCCCACTCCCACAACCCCTGCCAGCACTGACCCTGGATGATGGCCAGCAGGATGACGATGACAAAGAAGAAGAAGGTGATGTCGAAGACCACTCGATACAGCTCGTATTCATCACCGGCTGGGTCCTCAATCTCATCCCCAATGCCCCCACCAGCTCGGACACCCACATACATGTGAAACAAGTAACACTGCAGGGAGAGGGTGAGAAGCATATTGGTCACACGTTTGATCATTCAGCATTCACCGAGTACCGACATGGCCCTGGGCCAGTGGGGCAGGAGTCACGGCACTGACTGAGACAACCCTGGACTCTGCCCTCACAGGGCTCACAAACATGCCACCAGATAGTGACAGCCAAGAAATGGTCTGGGCTATGACGGGGAAGCACAGGAAGAGGCGTCGGGGCTGGGATGAGGGAGACACAGTGTGACCGGAGGAGATGGGGAAGCACAGGAAGCTTTGAAACTTGAAAGCCTGGGTGAGCAGGTGCAGCCGCCTGGAAGAGGGGCGTATGTGAGCTGGGACGTGAAGCAGGTGTTAGGTGGGAGACAGTGTTCCAGGCAGAGAAAACCACATGTGCTACGTCACCACTGGGGGAGAAAGAATATATTTCGCTCCTGTGAGGAACTGAAAGAGTGAATGTTCAGTGAGGCTAGAAAATAGAGATCCCGTGAGCAAGAGCAGGGAGAGAGATGAGGCTCAATCAATGGTCAGGGAGGGCTTCCTGTAGGAAGAAGCATTTAAGTGGAAAAAATAGGTGTTAAGTGAAGAGGTGTGTGTGCACACAGGGCCAGGGTGGGATCAGAAGCAAAAAGCTTGGGTTGGGAGAAAACACATGGTCTTAGGGGAAGTGAAAGAAGGACCAGGCAGCCAGAGAGCAAAAGGCAAGAAAGACTGGTTAGACTCAGGCAACACTAGCTTTTCCCTGGCTTTGTAAGCCATAGCGAGAGGATTTGGTTTCATACACCTGGCATTAGAAAGCCACAAGAGGGTTCTGTGCAGAACTGGGAAAATCATCTGTCTAGACCTTGGGAGAGACTTCACACTTGTTATTTCTGTGTCCCCAGGAAGTGAGAGAACCTAGTTGTCTTGGGTAAAAGCTAAGGCCAGTGACTATGATGGGAACAAGGCTATGAGTGGCAAGACCGGGTCTGGTGGGGTCTCAAATGTCAGGCTGAGGAGCTGGACTGTGTCCTGAGAGCATGGTGCCAGATTATAGGACATCTCAGATAAAAGCCTGAGATGATTCTTTCAACTGTGTCCCATGCCTCTGGTAGATTAACCTCAATTTAGGTTATAACCACCATTATTATAATAGGAGAGAAAACAGAAATGGTACTTTGGTGAAACTTCTAATTATAGATAACGATGGCAGTAGCTAACATTTATGTAATCCTTAACACATGCCAGGCACTAGTCTCAGATATCTAAATCTACGATTGTCACAGAGTACTACTGAGTCCTAAAAGCAACCCTAGGCTGTAGATACTGTTACTGTATATTCTCATTTGACAGGTAGGGACCCCAGAGCATGGGGAGGTTGAGTAGCTTGCGCACGATCACATGGCTTGGAATACTTTGCCTGAGTGCTTTTCCAATAAGAAAAGTTATAAAAACTCAAATAATAGTACACCAGAGGTTGACACCTACTGAGTATTGATTGTGTGCCCAGTACTATTCAAAGTACCTCACAAGCATCAGCTCACTGAACCCTCACAGTGAATCTACGAGGCAGGGCCCATTTTATTATTAAACCCCTTTACAGAGGGGAAAACTAAAAGTCAGGGAAGGTTAAGTCACTGGCCCAAGAGCGCTGGAGGGAGGGGCTTACTGTCATCATGTCATCACACTTCATGTCGGGCTCGTCCTCATCCTCGCTCTTGTTGTAGAACTTGCGGAAGAAGTTGAAGGCCACCACAGTGTACAGGTAAACCACCACTGCCAGCAGGCCGACCGTCATCACCAGCTGGGGACAGGCAGGGGCAGGTCAGCGCCATGCTCGGCTTGCCTCTCCCCCATGCCCCGCCTTCCCCATTCTCACTTAGGTTCAGCCCATGTGCCCCACTCCCCGGGTCCTACTACCCACACCCACCCTGGCTTGGTGGCCTAGCCTTGCCCCTCATTCCTCCACCCCTACACAGACTGCTAAACTGGTCCCTGCCAGGCTCACACGCCTCCATCAGGTCCTCTCCACACCTGTTTCCCATTGTGGGTGACGCAGGAGAGGATGTGCGCAGTGTCTGACTCCCATGGCCATATCCAGGAGGTGGGCAGCAAAGAAGAAGTTGTTGTAGTGTCCCAGGAGGGACATCACCATGTACCAGCCCAGGTACAGGAAAGACTGCGGGCACACAGGATCAGGGGTCAGGGAGCATGCAGGGATTCGTGGGGAGCACTCTGGGAAACAGGACACCCAGGGGGCCTGGGGACATTTAAGAGGGTTGGGAGTGTTCTGGGGGTCAGGTGCCATCTCTAGCTGGGGGGGGGGTGCTTGGAGGTTCAGGAGCACTCTGGGTGAGGAGCCATCCTGGGGAAAGTTGGGGATTCCTCTGCAGAAGGATATAGTCTGGAAATTAAACAGCCTCTGGGTGACAAGGAGCCTTGGGAATGTCAGAGGTTATCCTAGGATCAGAGGTGCGCAGGGGCTCAGGAGTCGGTCCCTGGCCAGGAATACCTAGGGGTGGAGCCCCCAATGCTACTAGGGCCATTTTCCTGCAGGTCCCTCCCCCGCTACTGCCCCTCCTTACATTGTCTGTAAAGATGACCCCAAACTTCCAGATCTGGTACTTGATGTCAATGGACATGAGCCTATGCAGGGTGGAGAGAAGAGGGATGGTTAGATGCCTGAGGGTCCGACCCTGGCCACCCCCCTGCACACCCCAGGCCTGCGTGGTGCTATCCCAGGCTCACCAGGTAAGCAGCCCCGGTGGTGGTTCAGGCTTGCGCTCATGGTGGACTGAGATCTCCAGCGAGGCCAGATCCATGCCCAGCAGTTCGGCGATTCGCTCCCGCCCATAGATGTCCCCGTGCTTGTCCAGGACCTGCACAGAAGAATGTGGGGCCATGCAGACACAGCTGGAGTGGGGGAGGGCCTTGGCTGGCATAGGGAGTTCTGGGGACACTCAGAACTTTGTGTGGTAAATTGGGGGTACATTTTTCTAGGGAGAAGGGCCAGAGTTTTCTTTGTATCCTCAGGGGGAGGGTCCAATAGTAATAAAGGCCAGTTGATTCATTAACCAAAGTAATTAGGATAATTTTTTAAAAGATATACAGTATTTTATTTTATTTTAAATATATTTTTATTGATTTCACAGAGGAAGGAGAGGGAGAGAGAGATAGAAACATCAACGATGAGAGAGAATTATTGACTGGCTGCCTCCTGCACGCCCCCTACTGGGGATTGAGCCTGCAACCCAGGCATGTGCCGTTGACCAGAATCGAACCCGGGACCTTTCAGTCCACAGGCCGACGCTCTATCCACTGAGCCATACCAGCTAGGGCTTTTTAAATTAGGATAATTTCTTATTTTTAGGTAGGTAGGTAGGCAGGCAAGGAGTTGTATATAATTAGGCCCCTTGTTATCTATAAACTTATCTCCTCAACTCTCCCCCTCACTCTCCTGCAGATACCAGCCTCCGCACAGCTCCTCAAATGCGCCAGGCACACTCCTGCCTCGGGCCTTTGCACTGCTGTCCCCTCCACCTGGGATTCTTCCCCCAGATTACCACTTGGCTCATTCTCTCAGATCCCTATTATTAGGTGCCCTTTCCTGACCACCCTACACGAAAGAGCAACCACTTCTCTGCCTTTTTTCTTCTATATCACTTATCACAACTTGAATGCTATAAATGTGTTCATCAAATGTCTTTCCAACTGCAGTATCAGAATTACTGTTGTGTTTACCGCTGAATTCCAGGTCTCTAAAATAGTTTTTGGTATGCAGTAGGTGAGCATTGGTATGCAGTATGAACACTTGTTAAGTGAATAAATGATGGTCACAGCCAGATACTGCTCACATAGGACATATAATCTTTACAACTACTCTATGGAGTCGGCCCTATTGTTACCTCACTCTGAATATGAGGGAAACTGGGGCACAGAAAGGTTGACACAGCTAGGGGTAGAAAAAGCAGGCATCTGGCTCGAGTCTGTATGCTTAAGAGCAGTTCCTCCTTTGAAAGTAACATTTATGAAGTACTTACTCTGTGCCAGGCACTATGCTATGCTCATTACCTGCATCATCTCATTTGTGAGAGGGAGGGGTGCTTATCATGCTCATTTCCAAATGGGCAAACTGAGGTGCTCCTTGTCCAAGGTCACATACAGAGCAAGTCCTTGATAGGGCTGGGATGGCCTGGTGGCAGCAAGGGACCCAGCCTGGAAGGCCCTGCCATGGCCCTCCCCCCCCCACCCCCATGCCATCTCACCTTCCTCTTGACAAACTTGTCCCAGTAGTTGCTGGGGAAAGACCTGTCAAGAGAGATAGACCACAAGGTGTCAGGGCAGGAGGGAACAGGAGCCACTAGCCAGTCTAAGGTGGTTTGGAATCCCAATGTTTTTCTTACAGGGGACCCCACACTCTCACTTGGGGTCCGGCTCTGAAGACCCAGGCCTGAAGTTTGTCTCAGGCCAACCATTACCCCCACTGGTGTCTTTTGGTGGAGCCCAAGTGAGGCCAGGAGCTGCATTCAGAGCCTCGATGTACAAAAAACCCTTATCGGCACTCAGGTGGGGAGGGCTCCCAGCCAGCAACCTGGTCCTGCTCCAGCTCCGGGGAGGAGTGGTGTGCTTTCTCACACCGTTTTATGTAATGGTATTTGATGATTCTGGCCCTATATTGACCAGTTTTCTGATTGATACATCGATGCCCTAGCATCCTACAAAGATAATCATTTTTTTTTTTGTGGTGGTGGGTGGAGGGAGCTATATCACGAATCTATGGGTTTAGACTTACTTGATGTGTTTCAATTCATGGCACTTCCTATTCTCATTGATGCTCAAATTGACCCTAGTATGTCGAGGGGAGCTCCTTCTAGCAGGTGGCAGAGTCCTTTCAGCACAGAACCATTTTTCATCAAGTACATCCTTGCTCTCTGACACAACAGGATAATCCAAGCTCATTGTGCCCTGAAATCTGCCACTTCTTCAAGGAGCTCGGTTCCTTTTTGTGGGAAATGGCATTTAGAAGTCAAGGTCTTGGGCAGATACTTTTTTTTTAAGAGTTTTTAAAAATTTATTTAATCCTCACCCGAGGATATTTTTCCCATTGATTTTTTTTTAGAGAGCATGGAAGAGAGAGGGAAAGACAGAGAGAAACATCAATGTGAGAGAAACACATCGATTGGTTGCCTCCTGCATGCGCCCTGGAGCCTACAACCAAGGCAGGCTTGACTGGCATCGAACCCAGAACTCTTGGGTCCGAATGCCAGTGCTCTATCCGCTGAGCCAAACGGGCTAGGGCGGGCAAATACTATTTTAAACAAGTGTTCCTCTGTCTTTTTGTTAAGCATGTGTACTTGAATGTGGCTTTGATGGTGACATTGAGAGTGAAGGATGTGATTGGTGTGGCTTCCCTCCCTCCTCACACCACCCATACTAGGCAGGACCCCATAATAAAATAACTTCCCATCTTTACCTAGAACTCACCCTGCCTCAGAAACTATATTAACTCATTTCGTAGTTACAAGATTTTTTGAGGTCAATGTTATTATTTATCCCCACTTTACAAATGAAGAAACTGAGGCACAGAGAGGCTAAGTGACTTGACCAAGAATTCCCAGCTAGGGTGTGGCCAACCCAAGGTCTAAATCCGACCTGATGTTCTTATTCTAGAGACATTTCCCCCTGCCCAAGCCCCATGTAGGCACGTGAAACGGGACTCCATCTGGGGGGAAATGGAATGGGCTGGCGTGCACATTGGGAGTCCACAGTTCCAGCACATTCCCCTCACGCACCCTCATTCCCTCTCTGAGCCCAGTTTAAAAACCAAATGACTTCACATTTCCCCCTCATGGCACCTGGGTGAGAATCCCACATGGGGGCAGGGTTTAAAATGCAAGTTCCTGGATTCCTCTCCAGACTTCCTAAACCAGCATCTCCAAGGCCAGGGCCCAGGAGTCTCCATATGTCACCAACAGGTGCTTTAGTGCAGAGGAAATGTGTCTGCATTACAGAGAGGAAGACCAAGGCTTGGGGAGAATGAGTCAGGCTGGCAGTGACGGAAACCCTGGTCTTTTGAGGAGGCCAGGACTTGAGTAGAAACCTAGCTCTGCTCCCTGCATCCACCTGGAGGTGGGGACTGGGCCCTTACGGCGTGTTAAGCACCAGTCGGTCCCACTGCCCCTTCACATCGTCGTCCTCAGGCTGCTCAGTGATGTAGAGGCCGTCAAATTCCAGCTTCCGGGCCAGCTCCTTCTCCCGCTTAAAGATTACCAGGGGCACCTAGATTGTGCAGGGAGGCAAAAGGGCTGGTGTCAGGCACCTCAGGAGACCACAGCCTCAGCAGGTGCCAGGAGATCTGGTTGGAGCCTGTGTGAGCCCCTACACCAGAGTGAACAGGGTAGTGATGGGGAAGCGTGGGCAAAGCGGTCAGGGCTGGGACGGGAGAAAGATGGGAGAGCCCAGTTGTGGTGCCCAATACAGCCTGCGGCTTCCCAAGGGAGGGAGGTCTGAACTCAGATCTTAAGAATGAATAAAACAGAGGCAGGTGAAAGGAGGTAGAAGTGGGGCAAAGCATTCCAGGCAGAGGGACAGCATATGCAAAAGTTCTAAGCCAAAAGAACTCTGTTCATCCAATTATAAAATGCCAATATTTATTAAAACAGATCTTATGGAATCCAAATTGAAACTCTCATAACATTGCTTATGGGGCATAGTTGATGTCAGACTCCACATTCCCACTAGCACTCATGTTATGACTGAGACCTCACAGATCTTATTTCACCAACTGACTAACATACAGAAGATATTCCAAATTTAAAAAACCTGCCTCTTGATCCAGAAATTAACACAGTCATAGTACCTGGCTTCTCAGCTATGACCCGCATTAGTTCCCAGTTTGAAGACCCCAATCCTGTACCCACCCCCCAGCCCTTACCCCAACACTAGGACCCCTCTGTCCTACCTACAGTGTAAGATCCCACAGCCTGCCCCAGGTCCTCTCAGCCAGTGTCCCCTTCCCCTCAGTACACAAGCCCCTGCTCAGGAACACGGTCATGGCCCACCTTGAGGCAGTTGTAGCCAATGATGCAGAGAAAGGCCACCAGTGTGTGCAGCAGGCTCAGGCAACGCAGGGCAGGCTCCATGTAGCCCGTGCTCTCCTCCAGGAAGTAATACACCATATTCTCATCCTCGTCGCCCTCTGCTTCTTCACCGACTCCTGAGCCCCAGCCAGAGCCACCACCAGACCCTGTGCCTGCCAGGTCCCCAGCTGCTGAGCCTTCCAAGTCATCCTCCCCTGGCGGGGAGTCTGAGACCTGAAGGGGAGCAGAGGTCAGTCACAGGCACCTGGTCTGCCATTACTAGATCCCACTAACAAAACAAACAGCCTCCATTTCTGAGATTGTATTGGGCCCCTGTCAGAGACAGTAGGGGAAAGGACTGTCAATCATGATCAAGGGGTGGGCCCAGAACCCTAGCTAGCAAATCAAACTATGTCCTGGGAATCTCACTACTGAACCAAGTGACAGGAGGAATAAAACAGAGTGGATCATCTTGGTAAGGGAGCCTTAAAGAGACTGACCACTAATATTTACACTAATACTAAAATTAGTAGTAGCTGACATTTACACAGTTGTTTCTGTATGCCAGGTACTGTTCTAAGTCATGCAACTAGTGAGTGGTAGAGCCAGGATTCACTCTCACAGAAGCTGCCTGTGTGGCTCAATGTGAACCAGGAGGTCACAGTTTGATTCCCGGTCCGGGCATATGCCGCCAGGGTTATAGGTTCGATCCCCAGTGTGGGGCATGCAAGAGGCAGCCAATCAATGATTCTCTCTCATCATCGATGTTTCTATCTCTCTCTCCCTTCTTCTCTGAAATAAAAGTCTGACAGAAGCCATGCTCTGATCACTCTGCTAGATGCCTCTCTGTCCTGGTATGTAGATCCCTGGCAAGGCCCTGAGGTTCCCTTTGTCCTTCAGGAGGCCTGGTTCTTAACCCTTTCCTTCCATTCCATGAGCTTCCCATTTCTTCCTCCTACAAATTTCTCTCTAGGTTATGTGAAAGCCAAGAAGTTTAACGGAATCAATGGGTGTTGCAGAGACAAAGGCCTGTAGCTAGGGGCACAGGACAGACAAATGGTAGAGCTGAGCATGGGACCCCAAACTGGCTCCCTGTTCTAACTCCTACAGGCATTCAGGCACCTGTCCAGATGGACCCACACACTCACACTCACCCCCAGTGGGGTCCCAAGATCCAGGTGTCCAGCCTGAACATTTCTGGGAACCCCGGGCCCAACACCTTGTCGCTGGTGAACTGCAGTGACCCTGTGAACTTGTTAGGGGCTGAGCCTCCCACCCCACAGCCCAGATCCTCCTGGCCCCTCATGACCAGCACCTTATAAAACAGCAAGATGAAGTTGATGGCAAATGCCAAGAAGAGGGCAAGGAATCGCAGGGTGTAAAAGTTCCGGGAGAGGTAGTTCTATGATGAAGAGAGAAAGAGAAAGAGAACTCACAGGCCACCCTCTTCCCATAACACAAGTACCCGAGTCCTCAATATTTGGTCCCACAACGTCTTATTTTTTGAGTGCTTACTGTATACCAAGACCTGGGCTAAGAGCTTTATTTGCATGAACTTATTTAATTCTCACCACACCCTATGAAGTGGGCACTGCTGATATGCCCACTCGACAGATGAGGAAACGCAGGCTCAGGGAGATGAGATGCCTTGCTCTAGATCACAGCCAAGAAGTGAGATGTGGGATTTGGAACCAGGCAGTCGAGCTCCCTACCACTGCTGCTTCCTGTGTGAGGTTACCCTGTCTGCTTTACCTCAGGCAGAGCACACCTACTTCCATCTCTCCCTTTTCTCTCTCTCCACCATTCTCTCCATCCCTCATTCTTCCCACAAACCCTCACTAAACCACCTCTGTCCAGCATGTTTCCCTTAGCCCCTGATGCCAGGCTGGTCCTGGGAGAGGAGGCTGGAGGTGGAGCCCTGGGCCCTCCCTCCCAAATGCCCTCCCTCCTTCCTGCCTGGATGAGATAAATTGTCCCCCCAGTAGGAGTAGCTGGGGCTGGGGTGATGGCTCCAACCTGAAGGCTGGCAGCCAAGAAACAGGCCATGGCAGGAAGAACATAGCCTTGGTGGGATTTAGCTCCAGACAGAGGATTTAACTCCAGAATGGCAGTCGGATGCCTAAGCAGGTGACCCCAGATGAGCAACGGGGTGGAGGTTAGAATAAGGATCATGAGCAGGGAGAGGCAGAAGAGCCAAGTGGGGACCACCTAAAAATGCTGTCCTGTGCTCAGGTCCTGGCTCTACTGGGGACATCTCCGCCCTCTTCCCAGCCTGGCTTTCACTCAAGAACAAGGCGGATGGGGAGGTGGTGTGAAGAGGAAGTTGCAGCATGTTGGATCCTTACCAAGAACTTCACCCTCTGCACTTCCAGTTCTCCCCAGAATTCCAGGCCCCCACCTTTGGTGTCCTCCTTCTTTGAATGGGGTGGAGGAGGTGCTGTCTTCTTGGGGGGGTCTGGTGGAGGCTCGGGGACTTCTTCCTTCTCCCCGTTCTCAGCACTGCAAGGCAGGACAGAGTAAGGAGGTACCTGGGCAATTCGTTCGTTCGTTCGTTCATTCATTCATTCATTCATTCAAAGCCATGTACTGGGGGCCCACCCCCATTCCTGGCTCAGGTTGAGATAGTATTGGGAACATACTGATGAGACAACCTCAGGCCCTGTCCTCATGGCCTCCAGTCCAATGGAGTACAGATTTGTCACCAGACAGTGGCAACCCAGTGTGGTTGGGGCTGGCATGAGGGAAGCTCAGAGGGTTGTGGGAGCCCCGAGGAGACATTCCTTCAACTTAGGGATGTGATGGCAAGGTAGGCTTGAGCCAAAATTCAGAAGATGAGGAAGACTGAGGTGAAGCATGTGGGAAGGTGTTCTGGGCAGAGGCCCATACCCCCAAAGGCTTGGGGGTACAAGAGGAGCATTCATTTCTCTCCTCCCTTTCACAGAGCCCCTCCTCTGGGCCTGGGCTGGGAGATGCTGAGGACACAGGGTAACCAGGACAGCCTCCTGGCTCGGGCCCTGACCTCAGAAGGCTCTCAGCCCAGGAGGGTGGCAATGATAGAGGCTGGGCCCTTTGGGCCCCAAGGCCACTCACTCAGCTTTCTCGGGCTCCGGCTCAGGTTCTGGCTCTGGTTCTGGAGGCAGCTCCTCTTCTTCTCCATCCACCTGGCAGCAGGGAAAGCATCAGAGTCTCGAGCCCCCATCCCTGAGTGCCTCTCAGTGCTGACCTGCCTGCTCACCTCTGTGGCCCTTCCTGGTCATTTCCTTGGGGCCATCTAAGTTTCACAATGCCCCCACGAGAAGTAAGAGGGATTAGGACTCCCGTTTTATGGAGGGAAACTGAGGCTCCGAGAGGCGGGACACCTTGCTCAAGCACCCTGCAGGGTCAGGCCGACACCAGGGTCAGGCTCAGTCAGGAGAGAGGCAATGGTAGAGGCTGGGCGCTTTGGCCGAAGGCCCCTCACTCGGCTTTGTAGGGCTCCAGCTTCCCCCCACCTTTCCCATTCCCTTGACAACCCCACCCAGGGGCGCTCATAGCACCAAGGACCTGAGGATCCCCACAACCATCTGTGTCTCTGAGGGTCTTTTCCGGTGTCCCTGACCCCATCTCGGCTGTTTTTAATTTCTGGTCCTGTTTCCCCTCAAGTTTCATCTCGGGGCCTCTCGCTCTCTGTGACTCCAGATATCGTTCTTTGTCTCTACCCAGAAACAGCACGA